TGATAGTAGTAGTAGTAGTAGTAGTAGTAGTAGTAGTAGTAGTAGTAGTAGTAGTAGTAGTAGTAGTAGTAGTAGTAGTAGTAGTAGATAATTTCTATAGCACCCACTTCCATACAATACAGCTCTAGACGCCTTACAACACCTTCATCTCAACACAAAATACAAGTGGATGAATTATGCATGCATGGCACCCTTCAGACTTCAGATCAACGCGCACACAGAATCAAACATTCATACATTATCACAGCACAGTCATAACGATATGCGTCATCACATAAGAGCACTAAAAAAAGGACTATAGTGCGGTCAAATATTCGTGGTGCAACTTATCCTCAAATATAATGTATCTCTTTAACGGGTTCGTCAATGCTATCCATACTTTGCACAGCAGTTTGTTTCAATTTGCCTTAACTAAATCATATTTTCCCAGAAAATTGGGGCTAGATTAAAAAACTTTTCTTCACGAATTGATATAAAATACTTGAAATCTCTGCCACACACGTAAGATGGTGTTGTTCACAGCACTTCCCGCTTCTCACACACATTTTGATTAGCCTACGCATATTATGACCTATGTCACAGCTCATCAATGGCAATTTTTACTTGCAAAACTTGTTTCAAGAAATTATTTTTATAGTGAACATAGTTTTTGTACTACGCTAATGCTTCTCAAAACATGCGTCAATAAGCATAATGTCCCGATTACAAAAACTGACTGACTTGCTATTAAAAGCAATATTGATATTGTCAGAGCTGTAAACATTAAAAAATCTGTAGAAACCTCCCACTTGGATTTTTTATTTGTATTTATTAAGGAATTTTCTAGAATACAGCTAGCAGGTGTTTACAAAAATGTTGATCTGTTAAGACAAATTGATACAAGTCGTAGTGCAAAAATTGGAGAACCTGTGTTCGATAGTTAAGGAGATAGATCTATGTGACAATAAGTTAAGCCGCGAATTTTTTACACCACTATAACTATCAAAATGCCATTTCATACGATATGGTTGTTAAAATTGATTTTAAATTTTTGCTCCTGACTTTGTGTAAAGTTCGAAAACCCATGGAATACTAGAAGTACAAGTTCTTTGATAATCTCCCAAAGACCTTGAGCATTGCATTGAAGACTAGAACTTACATTCAGACTATCATCAGAGGGCATAAAAATCTGAACGCAGCTCGCCATGTGACCATCTCACCACCATATAGGAGCGAGGAAAAGCCTTATCAATATGTTTTATTATAGTCGAACCTGTGTAGGACGGAATCGCAAGGAGCCAGAAAAAATTCCGGTCGGGCCGACTCGGCAGCCTCAAAAACAAACGTGTTTGTTTTCAGTTTCAGGTGACCGAGTCGGGCGATCGACCTGATCCAGCCCTAATGGGCACTCCGTATTAGAAAGTTTCCGTCTTGGACAGGGCAATTTAGTGTGTGTGTGTGGGGGGGGTCACAGGCCCAATCGGTGGAATCAAGGGTCGCGCGTCCGGTCGGCAAGCAGAGGTCAAAACTTCACACCTCTCTCAAGTAGTGCTGTCGCCTCTGGTAACGGCTTATATCATTCAAAGCAACCACCGCTTGCATTTCATAGAACCACTGTTTGACCTATTAAAAGTAGAAACGTTTGAACATCCTTGGCTTCCACCCTAAGCCCCACCCATCGGTGTAATAGGCCAAGTAATAAGCACAGACAACCAATGCCATCTTTCCAGTGCATGTAACAACGATTCGGGGCACTCTTTTCTCAGCTCGTCGTACGATGAGGGAAGCCAGCATTGGTCAGACTAATTTCACACCTCTGGACTCTGGCTACCCGTGAAAGTATCCCTGTAGGGGCGCCACTCGAGAACTTTCACAGGCTCTGGTGAGATTTCAAACCCACACCACACTGACCATCTGAACTGCTAAGGACTCACTAAGAATATTTCCTAAGCTCACACAGATGGGATAACATCTAGATCTAGACGCTCAGAGTAACAACGTACATGTATAGGCTATAGGGTAACATCAAGGAACTTACAACAACTACCTCCTTGGGCTTGGGTAACATCTACCCCCAAATTGCACCCCTACTTCCCTTCCTCGCCTGGCGTAGAACCGATGGAATCAAACTTGATGTTTTTATTTCATATCAGGGCTGAGTGGGCAAATCATTGTCCACGCCTCTGACAGGTAAAACCATCCGAAGGAAAGGAATTATCAGGGGGGGGGGGGATAATCCATTATGACAGGATTCCGTCTTACACAGGTTTCAAGGTATTGTATTTGCTTATAAAGAGCGACTAGGACATAGACAGATGAAAGAGGCATTGGTTTTAAGACTTGGCGCTATACTCTCGAAAATACGTGATGTGGAATCACATTGTCTTGATGTCCATAATTTTATCAAACCCGAGAAAAATTACCCTCCTTATGATAAGGACTCTACACGAGTCTCGTCGAGACAAATGCACACAGTGCGCGGTGCGGGTTTTAAGTAACACGATGAGTTCATCAACACATCCAGTTAAGTGAACAAGCCTCGTACAGAAAATTATATATATTTCCTGGAGTGTTTCTGGATCATGAAGCGTTGAGAGAGTCTGTCTTGAGGTTGCAATGTAAACCGAAACATGTCAAAATATCATGTCATATTACATGTATAATATTATTGTCGTACAGATCTGGGCGTCCAAGTCAAGATGAACAGGTCAGGTTTGGGGGAGGGTAGGAGGGCAGATGTCTTGTTGTGGTGCAATGCACTTGAAAAACCCGAGTGTACTTAGTAAACCCCTCCTTCCATAGTATAAAACCCACGACGAGCCGTAGCAGGAGGTGTAGCACATCAGCTAAATGAATTTGTGTCTCTTCTGTCTTCTGCCCCAGTGGTCGACTTAACTGTGATTTCCAAACAAATATTATATTATTGTTGTAATTCTCCAACCATATTATCGACAGTCTTAGCACGTCGCACTCGCAAAATTATCATAAAACCCGATGGACGATCTTCTGAAATAAACTCCGCGGGATCTGGGAGTTAGAGTCATAATCGCATAGCCTACGACGGAATCAGTTGTAAATTATAGTTTGAAGTCTTCATTCCAAAGAGAAAAGAAAAAAAAACCCAGGACTTTGATAACAGGTGGTTTCAGTTCGACTATTTCAGCCATTGGTTTATGAGTAAGTTTCGATGTTTGTTTGTTTGTTAATGTGTTTGATTGTTTGTTTTTCGCCATGTGTAGCTAACAATGTAGGTACAAGAATGCGTGGTATTTAAAATAAAAACAGAATGGGTCCGGATTTCTAACTGAATCTAGGAACGGGCTTGTGTTTTTAGTAGTAAGTGTTTATTCGGTGCTCAGACAAACCGGGTCTATAACTATCACATCTTTTAGATAAGGTCATGTGAATATATTATATTAAGACCCTGGTAAACACACTTTACACAAATTAACACCACTTCACCCAAGTGAGAAACCAGACTTTAAAAAGGCTTACAATTATTACACGTTCAGTTAAAACCGATAACTGTCATGTCCTTTTTGGGATAAAAGAAAATAATACAAGATGTAATCTTGGGGGGGG